ATTTTTCTTCGAAATTAAAACTTTTTCTCCATAAAATAAAAATATCATCATGGCGTCCATATTGATGCTTTTTCCCGCCTAAAATAATCTCTGGAATCGATTTATCTGAGCAAAAAAAAAAAAAGAATCAAATATATAAAGTATATAAGATTTATTAAATTAATAAATAAAAATAAAGCAATAATCTATCGAATTTTATTTTAAAAGCTCGTAATACAAGTTAATATGAGTTAATTGTAATGGTCCAATAGACGAATAAAAAAAAAAGAATAAATTGTTCTTCAAATAATTATCAATTATAATAATATTGAATAAATAAAACAAATGCAACACAACAACAACAAAACAACAATATAAAATAATAGCATAACAGAATAATATAAAAAAAAAACTATCAAATATATTACGCAATAAATTATTCACACTCGAAACAAAGCATCCAACGAATACGAGTTTCGATAACAAAATGATATTCGGTGTACCTTTCATGTATCGAATTACAAAATGGAGAGAGAATATGCTCAACAATTCGACACGTTGAAACATGTCAAGCGATTTCACGAACATAAACCGTCAATTTTTTAGAAAGACAATTATAAGAAATGTTTTCAGCCTTGGAACTTTGAATATGCGATTAAAACAAAAATAAGATAACGCAGGAGTTGAACGTCTAGATGATCACATTTAAGAAAAAAATATATAAAAATATATGTTTGAAATGTATATGGAATATATGTGTAAATTAATGATAATGATCAAGCTACTTCCTATTCCATGCGAATAAAAAGACAAAAGAAATTTATAGTAATAATTTTTATTCAAATCTTAGAAAAGAGAAGAAAATCTTACCACATTTGCATAAAAATTATCGAATTTTTTTAATTTTATTATAGTGTATGCAAAAATTATTGCTATATTTCGAAGCCATCCCGCCATTGAAGTTGCAATTAAGTAATAATCTGTAATAAGACATTCAATTCTGGTATAATAATGATGGATTAAAAACGTATTAATTAAACAAAGTATAATAATATATAATTAAACTTTAAAATCATAATGTAACATCGTATTAATAAAAATTTTGTGTAATTATGTTCTTGCCGGTAAAACAAAACCTATCGCCATGATTTTCAACTATATACTAATGAAATGCGCAATATGATGCGCACTGGTTCGTGTTGTCGCTAGATTTTAACATCTTTTTGATTGGCTGAAATACGATTCTCATGTACTGCAGCGCGAAAATTGAAATATAATACATTATATTTTAAATTTAATTTTAGATTTTCGTAAATTTAGATATCAAATTTTCATAAAAATAGCAAAAAGTAATAGAAATAGATTATTATAATTAATTTAATATAAAAATTATTCAAAAATTATTGAAGAATTTAAAAAAGTATAAGATTGAACATTTAAAACAAAAATTGTTTAAGTTTGAAATAACAATTTACATCTGAATATAAATTATTAAATTTTTGAAAAAGCTATAATAAAAAATATTTATTTTATAGTTTTTTTTCTCTTAAGCAAATTTATATCAATAAAAATGAAAAATATAATTATATAAAAATTTCATTTACAGTATATTTAAGAAATAAAAAAATATATATAATTTATATATATATTATATATTAATAAGATTTTTCTAAATTTAATAATATCTTACTTAAAAATTGTTAAATGATATTTTTCTTATAATTTATAGATTATGAGTATAATTTTTTGCATTAAAAAATGATTATTTATTTAT